GTTGCCGTAATGAGTGTGTATTTTGACGCTGAACATTTTCCCAAGACATTTTATTTCATCGCTCTCCGGCGCGTGGCCTTTTCTAAATGACCTATTTCAAAATACTTACAAAATTGATCGCAGCGGTCCGCCGTACAATACTGTAGCGTTTGGTTTTTCTATAACATATATATTTATATTGGTGTATTTTTATCGGAAGAGAACGTACACGTGCTATATTGAAATAGCGCGCGTTGCAGAGACGGCCGCTTTTAAGCGTCAAAGAGGGGTGAAGGGGCAATCAAAACGGAATGGTCGGCGGAGGGGTGCGAGAATTTATTTCCGGTTAACTCGACACTACGGTAAGGCGGCGGTGGCGGTGATGTAAAAACAGGAGGACCGTAACCCGGCGCGGGGGGTGTAGTGAGAGTGAGGAAAGGGAGCAATATAATTTCCCCACTAGGTTCCGAATAAAAACGGCCAACGCTCGTTAACAGCACGCGTTGTTGTGTACTCGGGCCGACGCCGGAAATTTTCCACGCCAAAAGGGACCGAGATGCAAGATGGAGATAATAATTGTTCCATGTACCTATATATGCACATCCAAGGCCAGGCTGTTTGCCGTCTCAATTAGCGCGGTAACCGAGTTCAAGGACCGACCAGAGGCGACATATAATCGCGAAAGGATATTTTTATAACGACCGTTACACGTTTTGTAAAAATATTTAAAAGTCATATTTTGGTAGGAAATTAATAACCTTATCACATAAACGCCAAAATATTACTTATACTCTTAAATATTCTTACAGATATTAAAAACTACATTCAATTTTTGCAGTGTGGGGTGTAAAAAAGAAAAATTCACAAAAAAAAAAAAAAGAGAAATATGCGCCGCTTATGATCATACTAAATAAAATAATAATAGATGAAGACATATACCATAGACTTTATATTATACATATATAAAATTGTTGAGTCTAAAAATAATATAATTTTGCCGAGTGGCGGGCGGCGGCCCCTGCGGATTCCTAGTGTCCTTGGCCCATGATTGATTCTTCAATATCACTGTTTTTTTTCCCTCCGACCGACACGTCCAAACTCCGGAAATGCACTTGGGAGGCGATTCGTCATCGAAAGTCCCGTTGGCACGTGTCCAAACAAACCGCTTTGAAATGTTGTCACCTTCCAAATATAAAGAAAAAGATCACGGTCGAGCAGCGCAGTAGGAATTCGAAATAAGGATGGAAAAAATAACGCGTTACACCCTTAAAATGAAAATGGTAGTTTGTATGTGCCCACACTTTTACCTGGTAAAAATAGGTGACATATATTTGCACCGTAGTCGCTGTAAACTTTTCGTTAATTTTGAATGAAATAACAAAAACCTTACCGGTACGATACCGGGGGAACAGTATCGTGTGCTTTTAACAATAATAATATTATAACATGTAGCACCACACAAACGTTATTAAACAATAACACCACGGTGTTGTGTATAATAATTTGGCATGGGACTTTTTACAACGACAATTTGTCAAAAACTACAGGCGCGTCAAAACATTTGAGATTTATAGCGATGCCGTTTTGTTGCCGTGTAGTTGGTTTTTTTTTTTTTTTTTTTATTCGTAATTTATTGCTTTTCGGCAAACAATGAACCGGGCCCGATTTCCGGGGAACTCACGACCGACCAACTAATCTTGAAATGTAAACCCTTTATACGCGACGCGCCGCAGCAGCAACCGAAGAGTCGGACGGAACATAAACTTTGTTTATGAAATATCGCCGGTGCGAGGCTTGCGGGCGTATCGATTCCGAGGAGCGTGTAACACAAGACACGGGACTTTACACGGGCTTACCGAAGGGTTTGTTGCGAAATCCCAAAGGTTGATAAAAATATAAAGAAACAGAAAAGAGTGGTCCGAAAGATTGCGGCGCATAAAAAAAAACCTAAGAGCCATAAACCTTGCCGCTATTAAAAAAGGTCCGCCGGAAGCATCTACACACACACACACACACTGGCAAAAAGGGAGCAGCATTACTTATGAATTAATCAGGCGGTAAACCCGAAGGTCCCCTTAGTGCATTATTATTCTTCGTGCCTTCCCGTTAAGGCCCAGCGTTGGCGGAAAGACCGTGTGCTCGCCTTTCCCGGAAATGTTTTGTCCCGAATTTTCCGGAACGGCGGGTCGATTGAATTTCCTATAATATTGTACACGGCCGTTTGTTTTCTTTTGTACCGGTTCGCACGTGTCCGCTTCGAGCATAATAAGACCCTTGTACACCTATATAACAAACAGGCGGACCACACAAAGTCAAAGTATATGATTATTGTCCATTCTGGTATTAAAAAAAAAAATCACAATCGTCAACAGCAATTGAGTTCATTTAATTGGAATCCGCAATTAAAATTATAGATCTCTGGATGAAATCTCGGAGTTGAAGTCCAATTTAATGTCAAATTAATGTCCAGTTGCTTATACATTTTTACACTTGGTCGAGCATATTTTATTTAAATTAAAAATCGATTTTGTTACACTAATAATTGCTTGTTATCGAGCAGCAGACAACGATGTACAATAATATTATTTATAAAAGTTGTATTAGTTGTACAAAATATTGTATTATTTTTTTCAAACAATGGGCAGTTCTTATTTTAAAATGTTAAACTGCCTAAATATTTCTCATTTTAATTCATTTCCTTTTAATAGAAAAATGAATACTATCATTCATTTTTCTTATTATATTTGGTCGACTGTGCATAATATCTGACCTGCGAGATGTGAGCTCATTCGTTTTCAGTAAGCAGGCGCTTTGTATAGGCATTTTACGTGCGCTCCAGAATATTATGGTATCGCCCGAGTATCATGGTGGCTGTAATATCATTATTTTGTTGCTGTTCCGTTTTTTACACTTATTCGGATATATTGAATACAATAAAGCGTGTATTGAAACAATATTATATTAAATTGGCGTTGGATGTGTTTTGATAAAACGCCAACAACGTATCCTTTGTACAGCGAGTCAGGTAAAAGTATAAAAAAAAACTAACTGAGCCCACTAGACGTGCCGAGACTGTCCCTGCCTATAATCTACTTTGAAAGGATTTCTTCGCTATTCTCGTGAAACTTTACTGAATGATTGAATAAATAAAATAATTAAATTAAAACCGAAACAAAGACACAACTAAGTCGTTTCGCCGTATCAATTATTCAAGTGTTTTGTTTCTAATGTCGCATTAACGTCGGTCCGACTCGATTGTAGTGTAGTAAAAACTAGAAATAGCGATAGCCAACGTAGTACAAGATATTATATTATTATATTGTGGTACTATATACAAATTGTTGCGCGTGTAATTGTGATCTGTACAGCGTATACTATTAATTATTATGTACGTATAACGGCGTTCGTCGAATATGATAAAACACAAGTGATAACACAACGAGATAAGGCGGCGGTTAAGAAGCGTTAACGATAGAACGTTTTGTGAACACAGGTCGGGGTCGAGGTCAGGTCAGGTTGGCTGACCCCTCGGTGGTCGATGAAAGAAGCGACCGCGAAGATGACATTAAAATTATGCGCCGAATTTTGCTTGACGTAGGCGTTCAACACGTACCTACATATAATTATCATTGTTGTCGTCACCAGCACAGTTATCTCAGTGTAACACAATAATAACAATAATTAATAATTATTATAGTCAAGAGAATAGCAGCTTAAGTAGAAAGATGTAAAACTGTACGGGATTGCAGTAACAAATATGTCCGTTTAATTGCAACAGCATTAAAAAAACAAATAATAATTTATTAATTAAATCGTGTATTGATCAAAAATTAACAAAGAATTATTAAAAAATATTAATTGAAAAGCTGTAAAAATTTAGCTAGGTAATTCTGGTGGTAGAAACAAAATCTGTGCAATTTTTAATTAGCAACTAATAATTTAATTTAACTTAATTAGTTATTCGAAACACATTTTTACTTAGCGCGTTAAATAGTTTTTCATTTGAAATACAATAATGGGAATTACCGTTTCCGAATGGTCCAATAACGACTTATTTAAAATAATTTATTACTTAGAAATTCATGTAATATTTTTTATATAATGATGTTTTATTGAATGAAGTACAGTTTTTTTAAGATTATTCGTAAATACTAAATACCAAATAATGTTCATTTGTGTATTAAAGTTTTAACATACAACGATTTAATACACATTTGAAGTAGAAAAATATAATTTATTTAAACTATTAAAATAATTCTTATTTATATTTAAAAGCGAATTTATAATAAGTTAATTATTCTACTTTTATTTTAACTGATGCTCGAGTTTAATAAAAATTAACTATCTTGAGCAGATTTTGATCAATTTTTTACTAAGAGGAACTGCTTCTTTAGAAACATTACTATTTTATTTACGCCTGTTCGAGGTGGACAATATGAACACAGCCGTTATTTAATGATTTGATAACAAAATATGTACTATTCTGTACTGTTCGTATACTATTATTAAAATATCAAATACATATTTAGAATATAATTTTTGATGTTAGCAAATTTCCTGTCAAAACGACGTGTGATCGACATCGAATTTTAGTAAATAATTAAATACAAACAATATTGCATTGCGGCCGACAATTTCCACCGAAACAACGTTCTGTGATGGCTCGACCTAGTTTGAACAATTTATAAATTATTATTGTATATTTTCGGAATTACTATTCGCCGTACAAGCTATTAGATACTAAATTATATCAATTTTATTAGCCGGTATTGTCGGCGGCGATCGTCGTCGGGGGCGTGTAGTTGCCGGCGTTTGCCGTCGGGCCGCGCTGCCGTTATGCCGGCAGCCGCCGCGATCCGTCGGGTTTTTTTATTAAGAAGTGGTTTTTTTTTTTACATTTTTTTTTTTTCATCATACCTACTTGCCGTAACCGCCGGTCGCAGCAGCACCGTCGTCGACCGTCTGTGCCGCGTAAACGCGCCAGTAGTGGTCCCCGTCGCCGCAGCCGGAGGAATACCCGTCTCCCGAACGTCGCCGCTGTTAGTATACCACGCGCGCTCGTCCACATCGGTTCGTTGGTCTGGCCGTACAAAACCGAGAAACGAGGAAGGACATTTGAGATATATATATATATATACATACATACATTGTGTGTGTTCGCGCTTACGTCGTCGTCGTCCCATCTGATCGCGGTGTATAATAGTAGTCGGCAACAGCAGCGGCAGTAGTAGTCTCTCCGTGTGCGCGCGTACAGTCAGTCGTTTGCAGTCTCGCCGGCTGGTACGACATGCCGTCCGTTCGTCGGCAATACAACAACAACAACAACGAGCAGCAACAGTACTAGTGCAGTTGATATCGTTTTTTTATTTTTTTTTCCGAACTGTGCGCCCGCGACGACTTGACGATTTTCGTTGTCCGTAGCAGCAAAAAAAAAAAATGTTATCGGAATAGAAGAGAGAATAAACTAGTGATTTTTTTTTTTGTTGAGATTTAAAAAAAAAAATTTAAGAGAATTTTTTTTTTTTTTAATCCATACGCGTCCCGCCGAGACTTCTTTGACCGTGCGAAAAATAATTTTTTTTACGAGTGTAAATTAATTTTATTAAATTTAATATTTTTCGTCCACCGACCGACACGATGGTGCCCAAACAAGAGAACCGCGACGACACGACGGATACCAACGCGGACGTTACGCAGCAACCGCTGTTCGGATCGCAGCTCGTCGACGAAAATTCACCGACACCGTACTCGGACGCAACACAGGTGTGTGTGTGTGTGTGTGCTTTTGAATACCCAAATTTTTATTGAAAAATATCGCTAATAATTTTAAATTATAAAAAAAAAAAAACTACCTTCGCGTCAAAGCTATGTAAAATAAACTCCCGTCATTGCCGGTTTAGTTTTCCTTGTAAAAAAAAAAAATACAATCTTTTTCCTATATTCTATAATAAATTGAATTTAAATAAAATATAAATTCGTAGGTGATAGCGCCCGATAAATTTCGGTCGGACGAGGAAGTTTTTTTAGATTTTTTTTTATTAACATTACCTATAGTAGGTAGTGTGGTTTTATCATATTCGCGTTGTACCTCGTTATGCCGTCGTCGACCGATTCAAAATATTTTATTATTATTATTTATTTTTTTTTTAATAATTTCAAGATAGTAACAATAATTCGACGAATGAACGGCGCTCTTCTCGTGCGAGTTATCTTATCGCTGATCCGGACCTCGTGTTCATCGACGACAACAACAACAATAATAATAATAACGTTAGGCGGAAAATAGCGCGTTATTTTTATTTCCCCGGCCAAACTTACCCGAAAATCAAGTTTTTTTATTATAAAAAAAATAATAACAATAATATTCGATTATTGGCTACTTAGTTTTTATTTTCAACTTCTAGCAAAATGCGATTTTTTTGGTCGTTGCTTAAGATTTTTTTCTCAATCGCTTTTTTACTACCCACCACAATTTGTAAAACGAAATAGTATTTTTTTTTTTTATTCTCGAATGTTCAACCCCCCGCGTCGGTTATATTTTTATTTTTCTTGGTAGTGTCGTTTAAAACACGTTTAATGAAAATGTCAAAGATAAAAACCCAATATAATTAGTCCGATTTGCATTAGGTTTTTCCTTATATCCGTTCCTTAAATAATCGCTGTATTTTTTTTTAATCGATTTTAGTTTTATAAATAAAATATGTATTTAATGTTTATCACTATTATTGTGTGCGAAATCTAAATTTGGCCGTCAATTTTTCCTTATTGTCGGTCAGTAGATTATCGACACCCGGAAACGGTCGTCGTTCAAGCAGCGACAACGCCGCCCTTGAAATTTTAACCAAGGTCGCGCTCAAATCCCTCTGACCACGTTGAAAATGTTCAAAAATGATAATTTTCTTAAAAACCCGTTTCACGTCAATATTATGTGTTTTTATCGGTCGCTCGAACTTCTATACTTGGGTCAAAATAAATATACATAATATTATATAGATATCAATAATCGGTTGTCTTCAAAAATAATTTAACCCTACAACAAAAATGTAATATCTTAAAAACAGGGAAACATTGATTCGCCTTCAATTTTATTATTATTATTTTTTTTTTTTTTTAACATTTATTATTAAATACACGATCTGTAATTATTATTTTACAATAAGCGTATGTGATGGAGGAGACATGGCCAGGAGATAAGAAGCCACCCATTGGAGGCACTTAAGGGAATTTTATTATTAAGCGGTAAAAATGGTGCTTGTAATTTACAACTATCCAAAAATAATAAGTAAATAAATTTTATGTAACTAAGTAATAATAAAAAAAAACGTTACACCAAAAAAAAAAACTCCGGTATCGTGTGATTATAATTGATAACATTATTTAAAATCGCATTGTTTTTCATCACTTTTAACGAGGTCAACTCGCGCTAATTTATTAATAATATTTTACGAAAATTGAATATTGCCAACCCGTTGAAAAATCTTAACGTGTGTGTCGGAATAAAAGCGTGAACGTAAACAAAAACATCGGTATCGGTTGTATTAAAAAATCCCTTTTTTTATCTTTAAACTTTGTCGATTATCATTATGATGTCGTCGGATGAGAAAAAATTCTATTTTTATATTCGGATAAAAACGCTGGCGTAGAGGCTCATCATTCCATTGCGGTTATTTATTTATTTTCGGCCGGTTTTATAATTGGGCTAAATGGACAATCCTCTTCCTTTGTATTTTTAATTCGCTAATGGAGTAGTAAGCACAGATCGTACAATATTTTTGAGCGTGCTAAAAAATTAAACGATCATTGTGCCCTCCGGGGGGACCCGCGACGTGTGGGGCGCGGGGGGAACAGAGACAGGTGGTTGCCCCGTTCGAAGGTTGTGTACTACGCTAGCCTCGCAATGAGTCATTCGCCTTTTCCGCGTGCCCGCGGCGGGAGGACCGGCCGGCGGTGGCGGAGGAGAAGGTTGCCGCCCGCAGTAGTCGAGTGTGTACCGCGGCGGTGGCGGGCGGGCTGCGGACCAGCTCGCGCGTGTGTATGCGTCTGTTAATGACCTTGAGTTACACAATTCCGCCGCCGCCGCCGCCTTGACAGTGAAAGTAAAACACCGCCGCCCCGGCCCCCGTCACGCACGCCGATCCACACAACGATGTAGTTAAGGGGATATCATTATAGTTTCTCGTTTGCCTTATATTTATTTTACCATTATTATTATTATAATAAAAATGGCAAATATTCGTGCCAATAACTCTGCTCGTGTTACGTACGTTGCGCGCTGCCTAGATCGGCGGGATGGAAATTGCGTTTTAACCGCTTGTGTGTTGACCCGCGGGGGAGTTCTCCCGCCGCCGAATGCCTTTAGTGTAGTATTTGGCCGTCGCCCACGGTCGTCTGCGGCCGTTTGCCCCCTTATTTAATTTTAGATACGCCACCGCTGTATTATTATTTATACCGTTGTTGTTATTATAACAATGTTTTGACTTTTTTTTTTTTTATGGTTTCGCAGACAAAAAAGAACAACCCGAACCACATCAAGAGGCCGATGAACGCGTTCATGGTGTGGTCACAGATCGAAAGACGCAAGATTTGCGAACTGCAACCGGACATGCACAACGCGGAAATATCGAAGAAACTCGGTATGCTGTGGAAGACGTTATCCGAAGAACAGCGCAAACCGTTTATCGAAGAAGCCGAACGATTGAGGCTGATGCACCTAAAGGAATACCCCGACTACAAGTACAGACCCCGCAAGAGGACGCCCAAGAACGCGGCCACCGGTGCGCCGCCGTCGGCCGCCACCGCCACGGCTGTGACCAAGCCGCAGTTGACGCCCCAGTCCAAGTTCCGGAAGAACATGTGCAAAAAATACGCCAACAACATTAGCCGCGTCACGTCCACGGTTCAGTCCGGCGCCGTCCACCTTCTGGAGACGACCGGCAACAGTCACAGTGCCGCCGCCGGAAGGACGTCGTCGTCGCCGCTGGACCCGAAATCGTTCTTCCGCCGCAACCCAATCATACAGGTGAACAGGATGAGCCCCGTCAACCCGGACCGGCTCAAGTATCACTTTACCATCGAGACGTCCAAACCCAAAGACCTGTTGACGGCGACCGAGGTGCGCATACCCGCGTCCGTCAACGCCAAGGTGCCCACCAGTCCGACTTGCGACTCGCCCAATTCGCCGGAAAGCGCCACGTTCTACGACGAATCTCCGGCGTCGTGCTACGACAGTAAGCCGCTCAAGATAAAAGTACTCAACCCGCTGAACACGTCCGCCACGATAACCGTGCTGCCCGAAACCGACATGATGGACGCCGACGACGACGACGACATGCTGCTCAGTCCCGGCTCGGCGTCCCTGATGTCGGACCACCAGATGGACATGCACGCGTCCACCGCCGACCTCATCTCCAGGAACCTGATGAAGGACGACCTGCTGGTGAAAGCCGAGCCGAACACGTCGTCGCCATTCTTCAAGACGGACAGCCCGTCGTTCTTCGTCAAGGAAGAGCCGTTGGACTGCGAGTCCGAGACGGCCGCCCTCGGCCGAGTCGGCGAGAACCCGTCCCTGGCCGACCTCGACTCCCTCACCGACCTAATCCAGATGCCGTCCGACTTCAAGATGGACATCGACTGCCTGGCGTCCGACCTCAACGGCGGCGGCGACGGTACCGGCGTCCGGCAGAGCTCGCATTTGGAGTTCTCGTGCACGTCGGACATGACGGACATCCTGTCGCACATGGGCGTCACCGCCGACTGGGAAGACGGTCCGCTCGGCCGCCTCATCAACGGCTGCTGAAGCGGCGTGCGGCCATCGTCGTCCACCTGCCCCTACATTAAAAATTCAGGTATTCTGTGATTGGTTATTTTTTTTTAAAGTTAATTTATTCATTTAAATATTACGTTTCTTCTTCTTTCTTCATATGAAATTATTATAATTATTATTATTTTTATTATTATGTATAAACATATATAACAACAAAACATAAAAACGCGTTTGGAGTAATAAAAATTGCATACATTATATTTATATATCTATATATATATATATATTATACATCTCGCTCGTTATTTTTTACTATTGATATCACATGGTTTTATTTTTTATCTTTTGATTAATTTTTTTCCCCTTTTGGCGCATCCCTCACACGTGTACATTTTTTTATGTAATACGTTTAAAAATATTTAATAAAAATACGATATAATATTATAACGCATACCTTGTTTTTTTTAGCACAGCGTAATTAAAAAAAAAAATAATATAACACAATTTAATTTCTTCCGTACACATGCTGTGTTGTTTTAATATTTCTAGTTAAGCTTTAAACGATTTCGCTTTAAAAATACCTTTTGAATATTTTTATTTTACTCCAAGTGTGAACATTTTTTTTTTTTGTTAAGATGTTTTTATTTATATATTTTTTAATAATTATCACGTTGTACTATAATAATAATTATACTGTTGCTTAAGTGTTGATACGTATATAGGGTGCTTCCATTTTTATTTCAAAAAAAAAAAAAAAAAAAGCTAAAATACACATGCTATTGATATGAAAAGTTTAATGATATATTATGAAAAACTTGTGTCCGAATTAGAGAAAAAAGAAAGGGAAATGTTTTAACATCATATTTTTTTTTATGCTTTGGCTAGATACTTACACGTTTGAATTACCCGATTTTTTTTTATTATCTGAACGTATTCAAAAAACATTTTACCAATATTATACTAATCTTCAAAAAAAATAAATTAAAAACTATACCATGTACATAAATGAAGAAATAAGGGCGCGTGATACGGTGGTGTGTTTGTATCATTTTTACCATTTAAACTCCACAAGTCATTTTGTACTGTTTAATAATAATAATTATAAAGAAACCTGATTATATGATCTCAAAGTAAAACAAAATATATTTATAATGTATTTTTTTTTTTTATGTTTTAACTTCAATGTAACTTTTTCTGAACATAAGTAATTTGAAGAAACGCGGTGATTCTTGTTCGGCAAAGCATTTATAGGTTGTTTTCGTATAATGACTTGTTTTTTTCCTACTATATTAGCCCTTAAATAATATGTTTTAAGTGCAAAGAATTTTAGTCATGATATTACTCGTTTTTTTTTTTTACAAATGCAAATGAAAAATAGATATGTATAAAAAAAAATATAGATATACCTAATAATAAAAATATATTACAAGGTCTTATTGATATTAATATTTGCCTTATGATAACTTTATTTGTTTTTTATATACATATATATGTCAAACATATATATAAATATATATATATGTATATGTATTAGCGTTTAAAAGCATATATACATCTCCCCCTCTACCCTGTCTCCCCCCTTTCTTATCTATTTTATATACTTATATAAATATTATATATTAGTTGGTTTATTATTATGTACATAATATAATGATGTACCATACAGTGTTGTATATAGATTTACTCATTTTACATTATTACAGGTTAGACTTACGTACTGTACCTATTGTTCGCAAGTAAATCAGTATAATGATGTTAAGAAGTTTTTTAACACTTTTTTTTTTTGTGTATTGCGTATAAATAAAAAACGCGTGCATAAAGCGACAAAAAAAAAATATATATATACATTATAAAAGTGTAATCTTTTTTTTATATCCTTAAAATTATATTTATATAATTGTTAAATACACCGTGTTGTTTTTTTTATTATTATTCATTAATTAATATATAATATTATTAATTATTTGGTTAACCCTTCTGATTTGTATCCTGATGATCCCCCTTCTTCTGTTGTTGGTGGTGTATGTGTGATACAGGTTCGTGAGGTTCTCACAAACACAAAAACCACCTATAATAATAATAATATATTATCGGTGTATTATTATTACTGATGATATTCCGCGTAGCTACTGGCTAAACGACGATCCACGCAAAGACTGCATGTCTGATTATATTAATATTATTATTATTATTATTATTATTGAGAATGATAATTTGTGACAGTCGTTGCACTCTGCCGAGAGATCGACCGACGTTGTGTATGTGTAATGACACACAATCGTTGTCGTTTTTCGATTATTATTAATTTAAAGCCACGAGTTGTCGTTGCTATAATATAATAATAATATAAAATTATACACGGTCGTCGTACCTGAACACCAACCACCACCACCACTACTACTACTACTATTACTACTGTGTAGGCTTGAACATTAAAATTGTTATCAACCTACCGTCGTCGTCGAACACTTGCCCGTAGCCTATACTAAACATGTCCTAAATATTTTCTTTCGTATATCTCTGTTAAATTTAGACCGAACGTTTTTTTTTCTTACTTAAAAAAATACCGATAAACGGGAAACGATTACAAACATTTTTTTTTTCAACCAGCAGCGCGCATTAGACGCTTCACTGTGTGCGTGCGACGTTAGGAGAATATTATTAATTGCCAAATGTTTTTTTTTTTTTAAACATTTTTATCTATCCAACCCGAACGACACACGAGTGCTCGGATCAGATTGCGTTACCCGACAATCGACCCTAAGCGGGTTTACGATCAAGTCGAGCACAACACCTGCTTGTTGAAAATCACAGTTGAACAAAATTATTCATCAGACAAAGGCCGTTGTAAACGCCGACCAACGCAAAATATGTTAATATTCACTAATATAAGTACGTGTTGACCTCATTTCAACAAAATGCAAATGCAAAAAAAAGTAGTCGGGGCGCTGAAAGGAATATTTTGAGTTATAACAATCTGTCCATTAGAACTGAGAACAAGAAACACACCTATGCAGTTCATATGCCTAAAAGGTTATGTTTAGTCAAGTTCATAAAAAACTATATTCCAATTTGACTTTATAGCTCCATCTAACTGCGTAGTTAATTGTTCGTTCAGTTCACTAACCGACTTTTTTTTTTTTTAAATATACGATAAGGCCGTTTCTATGTACATTAACATAATTAATCGATAAGAAAAAAATAACTAAAGTCGATAAACAGAGAGCGCAAGTTAAATATTGTGTGTACAAAATTGATACCCACAAACAAACTAAGCATAATAGTATTAAATAAAAAAAAAATATATTTACCTCATACCTATAAATAGGTTCAACTTGTCGCTGCATTTGAAACGCATATCAATGACTCATTGACTACACAAGTAAGTATTATTTATTAACTGTATAAAGTAATATATTTTTAAGTAGTTTTCTGTTTTGACAAAATAAGATGTCGTTTATTTAATAAATTATGTAAATTAAAAGTTTTTCAAGTGCTCTCTCTCGAATGTGATCAATTTTGTTTTAATAATTGTGAAAAAATCAAAGTACCATTAATAAACAAATTGTTTAATCATTTATTTTCATGACCTCGGTTTAATACGTATTTGATAAAAATATCGTAAAAATACATTTCATAGTGTAAAGATTAAATTTTATCTAGTCCTTCAAAATTTTCGTTTAGCGATCAGAATAACCCATTTATTGATTCTCGAATAATAATCTAAGTCTTAGACCTTGGTACTATATTTTACAACGTTATTAGGTTGGCGTTGAAGTGGCAAAACTCTTTCAGATTAGCAGGTAGTTTTTGATAATCAATTTTGCGATAAGTCGATAAAATGTGGACCGGCACCTCGATAAACTGTACAGGTTTGATTTATTCTCTATGGGTAAAAACATATAGACCAATATAATTAGGAATCGATTTTGATGACTTCTGTAATCATATAAACGCGCTCTGTTGCTCTGCTATACACAGGCTGTCGATTAGGTCCCCCTATGCAGGTCGTACACCTATACTTCTATGGTCCCTTAGGCTCCCACTACCGGTTTAACCGAGGGGAGTTTCAATATGAAACTTGCAGTGAGTTCTATCTGACGGAGAGGGGGTAGATTTGGAACGACCGATTATTTTCAACGTCCCCGCGGTGCGGCTTGTGAATGTCGCACAGACAATGCGCTTTAGTAACAACTACTATAACAATACACATATTATACAGCTGCATATAGGAAATCAAATTCGGGAGTTGCGACTCGCCCGTTCTCGACGTGTCAGTGTCAGACTTTGAACCGTCATCACGGTGGAAAAACTTTTTTTTTCTCCTGAGCACCGTCAGTGTCAGTTTTGTTAGCTATTCGGCCGTTATCTGTATACCGACGCCATATAGGGGAGGGCAAGGCAGGGCCCACGTGAATACACATAAGTCTTTACGGCGGTGTGTTGTATTCCCAAAAGATACGCGCTGAGGGTGTGTGTGCCGTAGATATCCCGTAGGATTATCACGAGGGCGAGAAACCAAACCGGGGGAGGGGGATTGGAGTAAGAAACGGGAAGAGGGTAGACGAGGTGCCCCGGCCAGAGGAAGGTGACACTGTGGAAAATAACATACTACCTAATACTTCGAAATTCGACGTGTCATGTGTGACTTGTGTGCTAAGAATCATAATAGAATTGATATTGTTAATATACATATCTATTCACCGATGCGCGGTCAAAAGTCTCACAAACTACACCCTCAATTTATCCCCACATATATATAGGAAACTGAGCTGGCCCCCGTCCACGGTGAGGACACCTAACCACTTTGCAACGAGCCACCTATATAGGACTTGTATAAATAATATACACAAATTGTATAGATCGTTAGGTTAAGCTGGGTCAACATTCATTTAAAACTAGTTTATTAAGTTAAATATGTTAAATAAATTTAACATTTATTTTTGAAATTGTCATTACTCTTTGGATTTGGAACGATTGGTAATATTAGCAAAGTGCCCACATTAACGCTATTTGTTACAACTATAATAAATATTAATTAATAATATTAATATTACCTACTACGTATTAATTATTTGAAATTATTAGATAGTATAATATTCTAATAGCTTAAACGATTTAAAAAATTTCAATTTAAAACATTTTAAAGTTATCAAGTTTTTTGGTTGATATTGTATTATGTAATATGTAGTATTGTGCAGTTAAGTTTGGTAGAACGATCATTTAAAATTTTAAGTAAAAAAGCAGGGGTGATATTTTTGTCTTACACGAGCCCCTTTTAGTTGTCCTAGACCCCGAACGACCTCAAGCCAACCTTGGCTTTGTGTGGTATGTGTATAACCTATATTATAAACTACACATACATATAAACATTAAAATGCATGCAATTTCCTCACGGCCGAACAATATTATCCTTTAACACGTCCTGTGGAATTTTAACTGTTGGCATTTTGATCTTGTATTTTTTTTTAATTACCTGTAATAATCATTTTTTCCATTTCTCGGTAAACATGACAACTCCTTTGACATGCTCACGGCCTGGCCGTCGTACACAATCTTTGGCGGTGACTTAAGCACTGTTAATTCATTTCTGCATTCATACATCAAGTAAGCACAATGATTTTTAAAAAAGGTTTAGATACCTATACTTCTGCACACTACACACAATTCGAATACTGTGCAGTTTTTGAATATTTTAAAGGCAACCCTTGTCGACCAATATCGACAAACATGATAACATTTCAAAATATGGCTTTGGCATCGCGTAA